GTTATTGATATGTCATGGTCAGCAGTTTTTACTCTCTGATATTCTATTTTTTACTTACATTCTAAAAGATCGTGTTACTAATCTAGCGAATACGATACACCAATAAAGATGTACCATCTTTACACGATTACCACTTTTTATACGTTACCGTTTCTCACGGCGCTTTGAAGGCTTGTTCTTTATGAGGTATCGAGTTTCCAACAGAAGGCCAAAGGTCGTTCTCAGTTGCAACGAGTTGGAAGATTTTACGCGCAATAATCATTTGTGTATATAGACGCGACGATGCTGTATTTAATTAAAAAGTTAGGATGCTGATGAGCATAGCGAAATGTTATATAAAGTGTATTTCTAGGTCGGGGAATTTATCTTCCGATAGCGTACCGGTATCGTGAGTTTTCGTAAGAGCCTTACCTGAGAGATGGATGTTCCGTTTTATCTGAAACAAAGCTATTGGCGAAATGAAGAGAGAATAGTTGAAAGATCGAAGGGAAGCTCTTTCTGTAATTTGATTCTTTCTTTTGGGGAATGTGCTTCGATAACTGTTCCAAAGAAGCGATACGTGTTCGTGAAACAAAGCAGACAATCTTTCGAAAATTCGTAGATACAAAGAGATCGTTATGTAATTAACCATTAGCTTTCGCTCTCGTGATTTAATTTCGATTTCTTAATTATTTTTTAGTTCATAATTACTCAAAATTAAACAATTGATTAAAATATTTAATGTCTTATAGTATTATATATACAATATTTATCTTATTTCTATTTTTTGTAGAAAATTTAGAATGAGATATATTGAAAATAGAGCAAAATATAAAAAAACAACAAAGCAGAATAATAAAGAGTTTTTAAGGCTCTTGAAATTCAAACAACATGAAATTTTTTGTCAATGAGATGTTTGTCGCGTATTTTTGTATTATGTATATATATACATAATACAAGATAATGCAAGATATATGTACATATATACATATATGTATATGTGTACATATGTGCATAAAGCAGCATAAGATCGAATACCTATAACGATTTTATTTCGAGCTCGCGCTATTCTTACTTGTCAATCAATTGTTTCGATATATCCATGTAATGTTTCACAAGCTGATACCAAATTCCATCAGGCGCAACAATTCAATTTATCTTCGCCGGTTACGCAGGACGTGCTTTGCTTAGAGGTTGAGCGTGCGTATGCTGGATATTGGGATCTCAGCTTAGTCCCTTGAGCTCCATTCCAGTGACTTTGGCAACACCAATGACGGTGTGTTAACTGTTATTTTCTTTCATGGGACGCGAGATTTGTCGATTTCTGAAAATTTATTCTGAAATAAAGCTGTTGAGTTTTCCGATGCTTGAAATACAAATTTAAGAACTAATTACATTTAATGTATAAATAAAAATACTGAAAATTTACATTTACAATGCATATCTTTAGACAAGAAAGAGTCTTCGCGAATAATGTTCTCCCCTCCTGAAATATAAAAATTTTATAACGAAAAGTCGATCATTTATTGGCCAACCTTGAGAAATAACAGACGATTACGTGTGCATAAGTTATGTTACTAGTTTATCGATTTTTAGACAAGACCAAACACGTGTTCGCTGCATGTGTCCGATGACGCTTCACGAACACCTGTAGATCTCGGCGTGTTGCAAGCCATTTATCGAGCGAGCAGCAAGTTATTTATGCAATCGTATTGTTTTTATCATAAGTACACTAATTTTCGTTATTGTTTTGTTTTTTGTTTGTACAGCGACTCTTGCTTAGAAAGACACAATCAACGTCCAATTTTTCTTTTTTTTGTGTCCGTAATTTATAAAATATGTATTTACAGAGTATATTGTTGCAGAGTATATTGTTTTTACAAGTAATCCACAAATGCGGCGCATTTATTATGTAGTTATAATGCAACATATATTGTTTTTTTATATTTATTTGTTACGAGAAACACTTTGCTTAATAAAATATTCATCTCAAAAGAAGCTTATGTCTACACGTCTACAGCGTGCTCGACGGAACGCTCTGTGACAGTCCATTAGCTAATAGGACAGTCGAAACTTTCTCCGATAACTTTACAAAAAATAAACATGATTTTTAAAACAGAGAAAAAACTTAACTGCAAATTGTTTTATTTTATATAGTGAGTGTGTGAGATGAATGAGTTACAACTATATACAAAATAAACACATAAAAAGCAATTCTAAAGATTGAAAATAAAAAATGATTTGTTGCCTTCCGGATTAACGGTTGACGTTTTCTCTTCGTTAAATTTTTCTCAAGGTTTATTTCCAAATCTCCCTAAGAAATAGCCAGAGATGATATTAGGCCCTTTTGCTGGATTAAGCACTTTGCCACCTAATTTGTACGTAATGGCTGAATCTCATTCCCATCACAACGCCACTGGAATAAGATGCCGGTCAAAATGAGATTTGGTACAGTAAAGAGAGAGAGAGAGAGAAAGAGAGAGATAGAGAGTTTTTAATTCAAATTATATCTTTAAATATTGTTGAAATTTTGAAAAGTAAACATTTATATAATTCTATATACCTAATATGAGTTAGGTATATGTACCGATCGCAATATATATTTGCGGTAAATTTGTAATGTTTTGTTATTGCTCTTATTTTTTTCGCTAAATTTTATACAAATTGCAATATCAGTCTATAGAGTATGATAGTGATTAAAGATAATCGATTTGACCGCTGGACTGAATAAACGCTACAAGTGGAAAAGCGGTTATCTGTTATTGGGGTTTGCTTCGAGAAGTGGCCATGGATCTTACGAAGGAAAGAAAGTACAACTGAACGAAAAGCCTTTCAATCGATATGTAATTACAGTTGGTGGTCCGCGAAGCAACAGAGCAGCTTTACACCGAATAAATATTTGCTACGATAAATAAACAAATAACATCTGCGCGCTGCGTTTATTTGATTCGGAAGGAAAAAGATGCGGATTAAACGCGAAAAAAACAACAGGCACAGTTTTTTCGGATCGTGATTCGGATCGTGACTGGATGATATATTAGTCTGTCAGGCAACAGAGACATAATTGTAATCTTGACCATTTATGATTTTTCGTGACATTACTAATGTTTCAGTCGATAACGACAACTTTCTACAAAAACCTGTCTTCACTGAATAAAAAAGTTCAAAACATGCATCAGTTTGCTGCTACTGCGACATTATTAATATCAACATATATGCGAGAAGTTGCGACGACAGACATGAGAATTGCACTGTTCCAATAAATCTCAACGGAGATAAAATTTTATACTTTGCCGATTTTTTTCTATGTTTTCTATGCATTTATTTAGTCCTATGCATTATATTTCAGCCATATAGGCCACACAATTGTTCCGATAATTATGTTCTAGAATTTTTATTGTTACAAATATTCTCTTAAATATAATTTTAGGGTTACATAATTGTGTTTCTAAAATTATACAATGTAATGTTTGTTTGAATTTCTCGTGTAATAAATACAATCTCGCTACGTGAAAGGATTAATACGGCTATTGATCGAATATTGAATGAAATTTCGTTATGACGAAAATGTTACAGCGGTATTCGTTACAATGGAATTTCATTGTGTATTCAATAAGAGCTCTATGGATTTTAATGCTGTTATGAAACGCTAAATGTTGAGCTTAGATTGAATTCTGCGTCATTTAGAATAAGCGGAAGAAAGAAAAGGGAATTAAAAAGCCGTAATTATATGACGAGAAATTTTATACGTATATAATTTTGTTATTTCCGTATATTCGCGAATTCCGTCAGTCGAAAAAACCGGTTGCTTAATAACAAAGCCATTTTTCCGGCGCAGTGAAGCTTGTTCGTTAATTAGATAATTTCCTAGTAATCCACATCGAGTATTCCGACGCGCGGAATAATCATCTTCCCAATTATTCTCACGCGCGGTGATTTGTATTACGTGCCGTACGCAATACATTCTCACATAACGAGTCGTGTGCGTCTCTGACGTTATCGATCAGCAGACATGTCGAATTCCTCGCTGTTATCTACTACTACCGTATGAAACAAGTACACACAAAAATTGAAAAGTGAATCATAGTTTTTAACATCTGTTACATGTAATTAAAAGATTATATTGTAATAATTTTAGTTTAAAATTTTTATTTCAATATATATGTATATGTTATAGATATGAAAATTTATAAGCGTTTTCGTAGCAAGTACATAAATAAGAAAAAATAGCTTATATAATCTATAACTTCGTGTATTTTTCCTTTTTCACGAGAAAATAGATCACGATGCAAAGCGCGATTAACAGATATTGCGATTGGAAATAGGCTACTTGACGTGATGTACTATTTGTAATTCAATTAAGCATGTAGAACTTATTACAAACGTTTGTCTTTGTGTCGGATAATTACATTTTATGGTATTGTAGACACAGCCACGTCTGCTCGCATCGCGCGTCTTTACTTACTTTAGTAATAATAAATAATGCAGTTATAACTGAATTTACATCTACGAAAGTTCAAACAAATTTTCACTAATTATAAACGCTGAAGGAATTTAAATTGAAAGTTGCTAAACCTTTCTCTTTACCAGTAACATATATTATTAGCGTCACGATATTGTAGGTGTAACAAGTTTAAATAATCGATTGGTATAGCAAAGTATTTTCTGTTTCTCATTAAACGCTGCAGGTATAAAATCGATGTTCCTTTGATTGAATTTGCGAAGCATCGATAGCTTGTAAATTGCAATTTAAAATGCACAACTTTAATGTGTATAATTAGATAAAAAAATTGTTATGATCTCTCTATTTTATGTAAATAAAAATTGAAGAGTTTTTCATCTTTGTGAACTTTCAAAATTCTACTAACAATAGCAAGATATTTAACATTGAATAGTATGAAAAATGTGTTAAAATAACTATTCTTTACATTTACGCTGTATATTTTATTGCATTTCTATTTTTCTCGCATGTGTATTGCTCTCGAGCGTGTGTATTTATCACGTTTTGTTCTTGTTGACAGTCCGTGGGAATAGAAGTGCGGGTGACCAACGAGATATCCGTGGTCTCGACGGAAACAAATGCAGTCCGGGATGCAGCACCACCTTGGACTACCATATCGGCTCCGAGTCGAACCACTCCGCCAACGCCCACTAATCCACACCCACAATACTTATCGCCTTACGTCCTTCACGGGCGGAATTCGCTTTGTTCTGCAAATGGTAATAAGATCTTGCAGTTATATTACCTTGCATGAAGCGCATCACGCATTAAACAAAAGAAAAAGTCACGCTTTTTCTTTTAATGTTTTTATTTTTTACTACAATGATTGCTTGAATAAAAGAAGGCAGACCCATATAATATATCATCTAATCGCGGCAAAATAAAACTTCCTTGACACCACATTTTTTTCCATTGTGTATGAGCTTTTTACTTATTTAGAACTTACAAATAAACACATAGAAAAATGCTTTTCTTTTAAAAATGGGAAAATAGCTATTTTATTAATATAATACATTTCACAATATTATATTACATATATTTATATAAGTACACTTAGTTATTTATTTGTTTATTTCAAACATAATTTTGCTATTTTTTTTATTAGCTAAACTATTGCGAGGACGTCTCGTGTAGTTTTGAAGTTTGTCGACGTATTTAAGCTATCTAATAAACAAATCTCTGTTTTTACAAAAGTCAAAACGAGTGTCGCACATTTCCTGCATGCGATGAGATCGAAATTGATCATTCCCGCACAGCACCTTTTATTGCAAATACATATTAGATACGTAACAATATTGCATTTACATTGCGTTTCATTTCATATCAAGTATAATGTATTAAATATGTAATTAACGCAATAGGTTTGAAATATCTAAGAAATTAAGTTAAATATCTTGAACTACGTATGTAATATATATGTATATAACACACAGGTATATTACGCATATTACGTAAATGTATCAAATGAATGTATCAAACACATAGTTAATATTTATTTAACAAAGGTTACGTTCAGCAGAACTCAGAGCTTAGCACGCGCTTTGTGATTATTGCTTGTCATTAATATATACTTTTATATTTGCAATAGATTTACAAAAACAAGTTAATTACAGATAATAAGCGCTTAGCTCATGCGCTAAGTTCTGCTGAAAGCAGCCAATATGTCATAAAAATTAACGTAAAGATTAACTAAGCACCACTAACTTCAAAACATCAGACAGTTTTTGACCGACCCAGTAATCTCGCAGTTTAAAAAAAGTATGTGAGTGATATTGGAAAGAAAGAAGTGCTCGCAAAAAATAATATATAAGTTTTGAAAAATATATTATCATGGTCGGCACTTGTTCGAATTTTTTATTTTATTTAGTTTTGGAAACAAATAAAATCTAAAATTTAAGTAATAAAAATGCTTTATATTGCTAATGTATTTCTAAAGATTAACATTTTTATCATTTAAAAAATATATATAGTGTAACAACATTTTTATTACTTTAAACTTTACAATACATATGTAACTTTACATTATATATGTTATAGTCATTTCGAAGCACGAGCAATCCTAGGATTGATTGGTCAATGCGCGGAAAAAGCAAGCGTTTTGGTCAAAGTTCAAAATAGTTTTTTTTTGGCTTTTGACTGTTGTGTTTTTAGTCAATCCTAGAAGTAACTAACACGGCTGGTTAAAGTTAAAATCTAAAAAACTCACTTCGAACTTCGACTAGTCAATCCTAGGTGTAATTGAAATAATTGTTATGGTCAAAGCCTGAAGCACGAGCGTTTCTAAGATTGACTGGTCAATATGAGAAACAACCAAGCGTTGTTTTAGTCCGAAATAGTTTTGTTTCGGCTTTGACTGGTGTGTTTTTACGCAGTTCTAGGAGTGACTAACAACTTTTAGATAATTTTTATTGAATAAAGTTTAATTTATTACACATTACATATATATATTAAACTTTTAAACATATGGAAAGAAAGGCCGATTATTTATTGAATAATCTGTCATACGTATTGATCCAATTTTTTGATCTTTTTCAATAAAAATGTTGTGTATAATGATTCTGAATCATATCGAGTTTTTTAACTTCTTATTATAATGTTAACCGATAGCGCTCCGCACGTTTTTGTACCACTGCCTACCAGCAACTCCGGCACATTTTCGCAGCGGGACGAGTGAGAAGAAGGAGTCTTATTTTAAGTGAGAAGAATTACACGTGCTTGTGAATATTTTTGATTTTATTTATTTTATACATATGCACTTTCTTTTTGTAAATAACAATTTTGTAAATAACAATTGCCAACGCCGACGATTCCGTAGCATCTTAAGCGTAATCATGCTAAAAACATTTGGCTCCGCAGCGGAGCCTACGGAGTTACGGAACAAATGACGGATAGCTCCGTAGCGGAGCCAACGGAGCGCTAAGGGTTAATTCTTATTATTTCTTATTATAATATTAAATACTTTTGCAATATTTGTACATACATTACAAAAGTGTAATTTTCTGAAGTAGTATTATACTTTTATAAATTATTACAAATTAATAAATTATAATTGCGTAAATGAGTCACGGTTCGGCCTCGCTATGCGTAAACTTAACGCGAGATACTACTGTGCCTTTTGATTACTTATAATTTATTAATATGCATTTTAATTCAAATTAGAATTAACTCACACCTAGAATTGACTACTCAAAGTCCAAAGTGATGTTTTTAGATTTTAGTTTTTTACAACACGAACAAAAAGAACATAAAAGAAATAGTGTTTTAATACTAGTGTATCCGATTGAGTCTGTGTCCGATTGATACTGTGTCCGATTGGGACTGTGTTCAATTGACACATACTACCTGTCCGGTTTATTTTGTGCACATCTGAGACTTATCCTGTTAGTCATTCCTAGAATTGCTTAAAAACACACTAGTCAAAGCCGAAACAAAACTATTTCGGACTAAAACAACGCTTGGTTGTTTCTCATATTGACCAGTCAATCTTAGAAACGCTCGTGCTTCAGGCTTTGACCATAACAGTCATTTTAATCACACCTAGGATTGACTAGTCAAAGTTCGAAGTGAGTTTCTTAGATTTTAACTTTAACCAGCCGTGTTAGTTACTTTTAGGATTGACTAAAAACACAACAGTCGAAAGCCAAAACCAAAACTATTTCAGACTTTGACCAAAACGCTTCGTTCTTGCTGCGCATTGATCAGTCAATCTTCCGATTGCTCCCGTGGGCTTTAACTATAACATATATATTATATATACTATATACTATATATACTATATATGTATATATATACACGCGTGCGCGCACACACACGCACGCACACACATATATGTATATGTATATATGTATATTCAATAACAATATGTATATTCAATACGTGTTTCATACGTAAATTCTGTATTTGATACGTATCAAATACATAATTTACGTATGTAACAGGTATCGAATATACATATTGTTATATAATGTATATCTGCTATGTAAGTTCTATCTATTACATCCTATAGCGCGAATATTCATTGGTATTAAACATATATCATGTACATATGTTTACATGATTTATATATATTATTACGTGTTTGCTATATAGCAACACTTTACATTTTATGTATCTGCTATGTATCTGAAATATAAAATGCTGTGCGGGTTATTATTAATCCCACATGATGGTAATTCTTTTGCATTAATGTTTTCCTTTGCATTAATGTAATCCTTTGCATTAATGTAATCCTTTGCATTAATGTAATCCTTTTATAGGCACAGTGCGATTTTATTTAGGAAATGCCATAAAACAGATTACGCGTGCACTCGAAATTTGCAGATATGTCGCACACTTTGCTTTGCAATAATTTCTCTCTAGTTCGAAGATTATTACATTACAGATTACACGCGGAGAAGGCGGCCTATGACACTGCGCATCGGTCCTCGTCTGAGTCTTCCGAGCAGAAGCACATCCGCGCCCACCACAACTACAGACGGGGAATGGCGTGCACTTAGGTGAGTCTAATAGAATCTCTCTTGCTGTTTCCTGTAATACCCGTTTCCACGGCAATCTGTTTTGCTCTTGCGGTAAACTCTACCCGTCACGTCGAGTCGAGCGCGCAAACATTAATAGAAGCTCATTGCAAAAGCAGATTTTGCTTACGGTAGATATTACGTTGCGTTAAACCGATAATCGAATTAGATGTAAGTGTAACTGTGTGAAAATCATAGATTCGTAATATTTACTAGGCAAGAAAGAAAGCTTTTACAATTTTTTTTGTAAGTTTTCCGTGTTTAAATATGTACGGTATTGCGAAAAAATTAATGCAACTTAAAAAATTGTTACGATAGCTTTACAAAAATTTTATTACTGGTTTGATCACAATAATACTTATTTTTAATAATAAAAGTACTGTTCAACAGTAATAAATTTTTGCAACAAAGTATTTAACATCTGAATATTTTGTACAAAATATTAGTAATTAGTGTATTTGAAGTAAACAAGCCTTTGCTAATATGAAAAACATTGTTGAAACGTTTGTTTACGTTCTCAATCTTTTAACTTTCGTTTGTATTAAAGTATCATGTGACTAATTAGCTTTTCTTAATACTTCACAAGAATATACGTGTGTCATTAGAAAACAAATATAATAAATATGTATGTTATTTTTATGATAATTTGATCGGGTGTGTCGTTTAATATAAATTTGCATGCTTGTGGAGATTGATCTTAATTTTGTCGCGTGAACTATACAAATGAGAATCTGATCTATTAAAGATTCGATCAATATAAATTCCGCAGTTCGGCTATCTATGTGTTATATAAAGAGATGACAAGAAAGTTACATATTTAAATATATCACTTGTCAGCTAACTAAAGTGATGTGTATTAGCGCTGTTTGCGATTACTCTTATCATATCTTGCTTATCATTCTATGTGCGTTTTATTTTAGCGCGTTTAGTGCATAGCGTGAAAAAAAGTTTTTAAAACTACATTCCTTACGCGTCACGTAGAACAAGAAAAAATCGACAAATGTTTCTACAGATACACAACTACAGATATACAACTCTTTGATTGACTTTTATTTTAATTTTTAATATATCAATTCAGTTATATTGTTTTGATATTTTTTACAAGTCATTTATCAATATTATAATTTTGGGCATGCTGTGTTATCAACTTTTAAATATATTCGATTTCGCATCTTATCGACACTAGAAAGAAAAGGATGTGAATCTGGATGTGCCTCACTGCAGGATACCCTGCAGTTATCTGTTAAAATTATTCCTGCTAGTTCGTTCGTCGGTAATTCAGTACAATTTTCACAGCACTTAAAACTTTTGCCAACAGAATACAGGTGTGTTTCAAGAAAATAGAACATCAATATGGAGTTTCATTTTCTATTGCGGCATAGTTACCAACCGTAAAATTCACATAAAAAAGTTTCGCGCAATACCAAACGAGCTGTTCTCGAACGAGTTTCTCGTTTGTCGATATTATGGTTGCTCTCGTAATAGTTTTCCGTTTATTCAACTAAAAACTTGAGTTTTACATATGAGTATGTGTGTATAGTCACTTATATAAGTGTACATTTAATGAATTTATATTGGATTATATGTTGTGGTAGCTAATGATAAAGTTATTGTTTTTTTATGTTTAATTTAAATAGAAAACTGTTTTTTATTCAAAGATATCAAGATGATAATATATATATATATATATATATATATAAAACAATAAATTTTAAGAAACTAAAGTTAAAGTAAGTTTGTGATTGACATTTGAAGCAGTAAAACGATGAACGTTTCGATTTTCTGCCTTTGATTATTTTTTATAACAGTTTAAACACAAATTCAAATTTTCCGTTTGTGTTATTTGATTTACTCTCACTAGTATAGTATAAAACATATTGCTCTCTTCTATATTTGAGTTTGCTCTGACATATATATATATATCTCTGACGTATATATATATTACTTCAAAGTAAAACAGACAAGTATATATACGTACAGATACCTTACCATTCAATCGTACATTTACATACGTATAGTTTTATTTGTAAAAATATATATATTTTTACCATACATATATTTTTACATGTAAAAAGCATATATAAAAGAAATGTAAAAACATATAATATATATACTGCGTTATATGTATAATATATATTATATAATACATATAATATATTATTATACTTTATATATATATTTTATTAAAAAGTATTAAACTTACATATTTATTAAGGTTCATATTTATTAAAATATATATTTATTAAAGTACATATTTATTAAAAAGTATATTTTCTAACGAATCTTAATAAATATGTAAGTTTTTGTGTGATTTATTTAAATTAATGATCCTATTCGTACAATAAAAAAAAAGATTTATTTATATCACATATAATGCATTTTATGCATCGCAGAAAAGATAAATTAGAGTTTACATTTTATATTGTGTATTAAATAAACACCCATCGCGCTAAAATATATTGTTTAGCATTGTATTTTTTTTTTTATTTGAAAAGATGAACTCTTGCTATCAGATGTCAGTCAACACACGTGACTCTCGCGATAGCTGATGTTTTACAAATATTTGTAATTGTTTTCGCGCGTGATATAATAGGCCGTACATGTAATGGATAGTCATTACTTTTTTGTTATATATATATTTTGATTTTGACTTTTCAATAAATACATATGAACATTTTCAATCCAAAGTATCTGAAAGATAAAACATCGCGAAAAGAGTTACCTGGTAATCTGACGCTTTTGCCACCCTTAAAGCTCGAGGGTAGATTTACCGGTACCAAGATGTCGTCGTGGTCGAGGAGTCGATGACACGTAGCCGCCACTCCTCGTGGCGTTACCGCGGTAGGCAGCGTTGCGTTTTGTTGTGATCGCAACGGCCTTACGGACAGTCGCGCGCGCGTTTCGCTTCGCGGATCAGACTTTCTCGCGCTTATTCACGTCGTGAAAACTGACGCACGCGCTTGTCGGCGATGCGTCGCGTCGCGCGTGCTTCTACGCCGAGAGGCTGATAGTCGCGCGTAAACGTTACCACGGTATACGCCGCCTGAATTTCCGAGCTTCTATACTCGAAATCACGCGGACTTAACGGGAGAAGAAATTTCATCGAAATTTTTCGCGCCCGTCAAAAGCGCACGTATGTTTGCACTCTACTCATCATCGTCATCATTGTTATCATCAAGCCGGTGCGCAGGCCTGTCACCGTAAATTCGAGTAGTGTGATGTGAAATAAGCGAGACGCGTAAGCGCAACGTGTCGCGACAGTTTACACCGACGACGAAAAGAAAGCAGTAAATTTTGCAGCACGCACGAGCGTTTTGACATTTTGGATTTTATTTTCTCTGAATGCTGATACACCAGTATTGCAGAGTGATTGATACGATTTTGTCGGATTGTAGTTCGCGAGAAACTTCGTTTTGAAAAGCCTGATATTTTAGTGCGTTTCAATATCTCGGTATTAACTTTTATTGAATAAAATTCTCTGGAAATATAGATGGTATATATATAGACAAAGCCGCGTTGAAAAAATTTTATTGCAGTTTTGTCGAACTCCGTTAAGCATATCAGAAATCACGTGCAGATATTTTATTGTGTCTCGTCTACATGACGTTCCTACTTTGGAAACCATTGCTCATTTCCTTTGCTGGAGAAGAGAAGGGGAAAAAGAGATATACATATCGATAGCTTTATTCAGAAGTTGCAGCTTCTAAGTTTAGTTTCTTTCAACACGTGAAAATCTTATTTAACACAGATATATCGATATTCTCTCATCTCCAATATAATTTATTATTAAATGTAGTGTCGAGTTTCGCTTATGTTTAATATAGGAATAGCCGTCAAACTTATAAAATAAGAAAGACAATTGTATTTAACGCTAAATATGCGGGACTATTAGCACCGAAGTTAAAAAGCTAATTTTCCGGTGAAACTGCAAGATTATGAATCAAAGTTTCTTTATGTAGCGAACGTCATCCCGAGAAACTTTTATAATAAATGGTTTCATTGTTTTTCTTTACAATTTTGAGAAAGTTGTTGCTCTCTTTTGCTTCGCAACGATGAGATACATTGAGAAGAGAAGTTCGGTGAGAAAAGCACATAGAAAATCTTGAGAATCCGTGTTCGTTGACCTGTACGGCGGTCTAGATGAAAACAATCGTTTTGGTCGAGAGTACCGAGCGAGAAACTAATGCGATTTGCGCGGGAAATTGAGATAAACGACCAAGATTCTCGCACAAAGTTTTTCTCCGGAAAATTATTAGATTGTTCTTAGGTGACCAGCAGTTATAAAAAAAAAAGATCGATAAATGCAACACTAACAACGTTTGCAGGAAAAATTCATCATCTTTGTAATTGCTTCGTTAATTTAATATTTAAAGAAGAAAGAAGTTGATTTATTTAATATAATATACATAACCGCTCGAAACTAAAATGGAAAAAGTCATCATGATAAACGAGCAACCGAAAATAAATCAAAGTGTGGACTAAAACGGATATCACTGTTCCCAATTGTCGAAGATATTAAAAAGCGAATGTTGAATATTGCAAGACACAGTGTTCATACTGTAGAATCAGCACGCGACAAGTACGTTGCATACGTACGTCATAAATTAAGCCGATCATAAACGTGTATTACGATACGATCTCGTTGAACGAAGAGGATTTGATTTCTTGAACATCGAAGTGCGAAGCTTGATTGCTCTTTTCGAGCAAGAATGTTACACACAGTGCGTAAAGCGATATCGGGGTTTGGAATCAACACAGATCCAATTTGTGTAATTGAGCAATTCCTGAGAAATGGATTCCCGTGGAAATGCAGACCGGAACTGCATTGTGCGCATTGTAAGTAAGACGGCGAAAGCGTCTAGAATAGGTATCTGCTGGTGCGATTTTCGACCCGATGCAACGATCGAATTTCGTGGAGCGTAAATTGTTGCTTTGTGGAGTTGTGTGCTTTTGATTTGTTACACCTTCGAAATTCAACGTTT